TCACAAAGAAATTTCAGCAAAATAAACCTTCATTGGAAGACTGAAAAAATCAGGTCAGCGCTGAACAAAAGCAAAAACAGTCAAGTTCGTTTGTAGGTAGTGAAAACAATAAATTTCATGCAAGAATTTTTAGACAATCAAATGCATGTCATTGTAAAAGTGAAGTGAACAACCTTTAGATGACCATGAAACCCACTAACGAAATTCGAGCAAATTTCTCCTAAACTAGCTTTCTTCAGTCAGTTTTTCAGGATTTTGCAGCGTAGGTTGCGTATCGCCTTGAACTGTCTTCTGCGAAACTTTCGATAGCATCAAAAAAACCTTTGAATAGCGACCAAAGCCAAATATAGAAGCCGCTGGATCAGATTAACATCCTTAATCAGGCTTATTTGGAAAATAAAAGTCGATTTTGCGAATAACTGCACCCTTATCAGCGATCTAATCAGTGTTGTATCTCGATTTTATCGTGACATAACGGAGCTCGAGTCTTTTGCTCGATAAATATGAGAGGTCGGAGGTTAATTAGCATTGTCCTCTTTAATGTAATAGCAATGTCGTAAATATGAGATTGTTCGAGATTTATTCAGTACCGTTAAATGACAATTGCAGACAAACAAGTTCTTGTATTGGTGGATTTATGAGCTTGTCGCGATTCCAATATTCTGTCTTTAGATGAAGCCGTCTTTGAGAGGGAAAAATCGCTTCGCTTGAACGCATTTAACATAAAAACAGAACCCACAAGTTGGAAAAATAATCTCTAAATCTAATTAGATAATTAAACTTTAAGGTTTATGACCACCCAACATCTCTATTAAAGCGAAATTTATTGCATCATAGCCTAAAAAAGAGAAACTTAGATTCAGGGCCAAGGCAAACGAACTTGCAACCATTGGCGGAATATCCGTTTCCGGATGGGTGAGGTGTTGCAAGAATATTATATATCTCAAGATAAATTATGAAATAAGCCGTGTTTATGCTCTGTTTCTCATCAGGAATAAAATAACAATTTCAAAATAGTGTTTTTTAGTCAAATTAATGTAGGGTAAGTTCGGGAAAGATGGAGTCCTAGAAGGGTTCTAAGTTCCAAAGTGCATTTCTACCGGATTTACCCTAACAATAATTGTGTGTTTTTAGTCAAAACATAATTTTAGCACCTTTTTATATTTATTACTTGTCAAAGCATTTATTTATTGCTCATTTGAGTGTTTTATCGGTGTCAAATAAAATAATAAATGTCAAGTACATAGATAAGAGATCAATTGTGTATTATTACACAAGGCGACAAAAAAAAGTCATGTCGTGACAACTTGACAAATTTTATATCATTATGTTCGTCTCAGTGAGACAAATCAAATGCACTAAGAAAAATTTCAAAAAGTCCACACACTTTGAACTAATTAATTTTTTTCTAATTTAAATGAATTTCAAATACTTTAACTTTAAAAAATCATTACTCAATAACTATTACGCCGATTTCCTTCAAATAAAGACCATTCTAAAGAGATGGCCTTGCCCTTTAGAATGATATAAATTTGAAATTGAATATTGGCAAACTTTTCTTCGAAGCTATTGAAAAACAACAACAAAATCAAAACTGTAGACCACACTTATTTCGACAAGATATTTTGCAAAATACACTATTTTTTGGTAAATTTTTCTCTAATTTTGTAAAAGCTAAAGAAATAGTGCACAAAACTGGCAAAAAATATACTTAATAAAAATCTTTAAAAAATTCATAATTAGTTGTGTTTCTTTTTATGTTGTTTTTTCCTTATTTCGTTCTTTGTGTCCTCATTTATTCYAAATTTCAGATTTTTTCCTTTTCATTTTAATAACAGCATTATTATTAATATTGTTGAAATTTTTATTCTTATTCCTTAGAAACATCTTTCACAGTTGAAAGTAAAAAAGGACTATGTTTTTGAGACGCTGAATGTGAATTAGAAAAAATTAAATTTTATTGGCTATTTTCGAAAATTTTTTGACTTTTTGCGCTCAGAAGAAGGGTCAAAAGTAAAATTTTTATGCAGAATCCAATCTGTTTAAAAAAAAAAGATTTCTGAATTAAAAAAATTGTTAATATCAGACAAAAAATGTTTTTCCCTTCTCTTCTCGAAAAAATTGATAATTACTTAGTTGTGTTTTTTTTTAGTTAT